GGGGTCATTCGGGAGCCCCCAGGCGGTGAGGTGGCCGCGCCGCGTGGTGAGCCGGCGGGGCCTCGGCCGCGCGGTGAGGTCTCCTGGGGCTCCGAAGTCACCACGCGGTCCGCCTCCTCCTCCTCCCCATCCTCCTCCTCCTCCTCCTCCTCCTCCTCCTCCTCCTCCTCCTCCTCCTCTCCTCCTCCTCCTCCTCCTCTCCTCCTCCTCCTCCTCCTCCTCCTCCTCCTCTCCTCCTCCTCCTCCTCCTCCTCCTGCCTCCTCCTCCGGCCTCCCTCCTCCTCCTCCTCCTCCTCCGCCTCCTCCTCCTCCTCCTCCTCCCCCTCCTCTCCTCCCCTCCTCCTCTCCAGGACCCCGCCCCCCTCCTCCTCCTCCTCCTCCTCCTCCTCCTCCTCCTCCTCCTCCTCCTCCTCCTCCTCCTCCTTCCCCTCCTCCTGGGGAACACGTCGACGACGGCAGTCGGCGGCCGGCGCGCGAAAACACCTGAGGGGGAGGGCGAGGGCGGAGGAAGGGGCAGGAGAGGCGCAAGGCGGGGGGACGGCAGGGCCCCTCGGGGCACCCGTCGGCGGTGGGCGTGGGGAGACAACAAGGCACCGACGCCGCGGCTCCCCAGAGCTCTCCCGGGGCGCGTTCTGACCAGGACTTCAGGGCGGATCCAGCGGTGGCGACGAGGGCCACCCAGGAGGCCCAGAGAGTGGAGAACGAGAGAGGGGCAGCGGTGGCGGTACCCTTTCCTCTGTCCGACGGCGGGAGCAAGCAGAAGAGAGAGAGCGGAGAGGAGAGAGCAGCAGAAGGCGCGCCTGCGAGCGGGCCCTGTGCGGGGGCCTGCGGGGGCAGAGGCCCGACGTGCAGAGGTGCCGCGGCGGAAGAAAGCTCGAGCCACAACGGCGGCGCGCGGTGGCGGTGACGAGGCGGAGCGGAGCGCGCCCTCGTCCTCGTCATCGTCGTGCTTGTCGTCGTCCTCGTCGTCGTCGTCATCATCCTCGTCGTCCTCGTTTTCGTCGTCGTCGTCGTCCACGTCGTCGTCGTTTTCGTCGTCGTCGCCGTCGTCCTCGTCGTCGTCGTCGTCGTGGTCGTCGTCGTGCCGTGGTCGTCGTCGTCGTTCTCCGGGTGGCGACCTGGCGGGACCGGCCCAGGGAGGGCGGCACCAGGGGGCGCCGGAGCCCCTCGGGAGCGGTGCTGGGCGGCGGGCGCTCGACGCCGAAGCGGCGCGGGGAGCGTCGGATGCGGAGGGCCGGCTCTCCTGGAGAGCTCGAGGGGTGGAGGTGGGGAATGGAAGGCCGGGCGCTGGTGGCTGGAGGAGTAGGAGGAGGCGGAGGAGGAGGAGGAGGAGGAGGAGGAGGAGGAGGAGGAGGAGGACGAGGAGGAGGAGGATTACGAGGACGAGCAGGTCGGGGTTCGGCATGCGGGAGGGGGCGGAGGAAGAGGAGGGGCACAGGGGGCGCGGAGCCAGGATCCAGGAGCGCGCCAGGGGTTCGCAGTCCTCGGGCCCAGAGGCCGGGGGCCGAGATCCAGAGGCGCCAGAGCTGGCATCGGCGGGGTGGGGTGGCGGCTGCAGCGCACGAACACTGCCAGAAGGTGAGCATCGTCTAACCCCGATCCCTGTCCCCACTGGCGTGGCCTGGGCCCCACTGGCCGACGCACCCCCCCGAGGTGGGGATGTAGGCTGCTCCCTTCGGGCTTCGAGGGGCATATCCCCAACTGGGGGGATGAGATGGTGGGGGTCTGGATGGGGATGGGGATGGGGATGGGGATCGGTGAAACGATGCTGAGAAGGGGAGAGGGAGGCAAGGGCGAGAAAAGGGGGGTGGCAGCAGCTTGCAAGCTCGCCGGCCCCACGGGCCAGAGACGTGCTGAGATCTCCGGTAACAGATTGACAAAGTTCGAACTCGCGCGCGCGCGCGGCTGCCCCAGGGGGGGGCCGGAGCGAAAGTACCAGGCCCGAGTCTCCGCAGGTCCGCGCCCGAAATGCCAGAGACCCACAAGACGGCCCAGGAGGCGCCCAAGACGGCCGCCGAGTCCCCGAAAGATCGGCCCCGGATGCTCAAAACGGCGCCACGACTGCCCAGGAGGCCGCCCAGACGACTACAACAGTACTTCCGAGAGGGCGCCGAAGAGGCCAGAATCATTGATTCCCCCTCTCGGCTTTTCGGCGATGCAACCCTCCCTGATGGCCCAAGAGGTCCCGAAGGTCGCCCCCAGACGGCCCAAGAGGCCCCCAGGAGGCGCCCAAGACTGCCCAAGAGGCCCCCAGGACGGCCCAAAAGCGCCCTGGACGGCCCCAAGAGGGCCCCAAGAGGAACCCAAGAGGAACCCAAGAGGTGGAACGCGATCCGAAAATCCAAGCCTTCGCCCAAAGAGGGCCCCAGGAGGCCCACAGAGCCCCCAAGAGGCCCTCAGGACGCCCCCAAGAGGCCCCAAAACTGCCTCCAAGACGCCCCCGAAAAGCCTCCCACGAGACCCCATCGGCCATCCAAGCGGCCCCAGACCCGCACAACCACGCAGCCCCAGATGCGAAATGAGCCGGCGAAGTGAGCGAAGCGGTGAAACAGCTCCTCCCTGTCGTACCCCGAGACGGGTCGGTAGGGTGGGCCAGGAGTTTCGCCTGAGACTTCCCCACCACTTCTGATCCTGAAGCGATCCGCCGCCCTACCAGGTACGGCATGTGAGATCCCCGCCGCATGGTCTCCCTTGCCCACGCAATCCTCGTAACATTGCCCTTCCTCAGAGCCCTGGGAACCCCTCCTGGGGTCTTCCCCGCGGCCTGCTCATTCTGCCTGCCTTGGGGCCCGGGCTGCGGCCGGGGCGCCTTCTTGCCACCATTTCCGTCACAAACCGACCCGCCTTTCACGTGCGCGGCTTCCGAGCGCGGCCAGCCCTCTCAGACGCCTCTCCGGGAGCCTTCTGGGCCGGTTTGGGGGGCATCTCGAGGCTCTTTCTGGGCTGATCTTGACCGTCATTCACACCACCAACGGCCGTCCTGGATGCCTCTCCACCTCTCTTTGAATCTTATACACCAGAAACCCCAACAAGCAAACAACATCGAAAAACACATAAGATCACATCGATTATGTCCTTATAGGTCTATTCTGGGCGCCTCTCCTGGAGCTCCTGTGTATGTCCGCGGGCTCTTGCGGCCATCTTGGAACCTACGGATGCTCTCTGCGGCCGCCCTGACAGCCTCTCGGGGCCTTCCACGCCTGTCTGGACTACTTTTTGGTGCTGTCGTGAG